CCCTATTATGTTTAATCCAACATTTTTGTTTTGTCCAACAGATTTTTTTAAACAATAGTGAAATCTCTTTACAATCTTTAAATTTTGATGAAATAACATGTATAAAAGATTTAAATGCATGTATTAAAAAAGTTCACGATTTTATTATTTGTCAAGGGACGTTAATGCTTCCAAATAATATGATTGGGTAATTTAACTAATATTTATATTTTTTAGTAAGTACCTACATTCAATTAAAATTGTGATTAAAATTACCATTTGTAGAAAATCCAATTTATGCAAAGGTTACATCGTAAGACAAGATGGCCAACGTGGCTTTCTTAGTAAAAGTTGTTTTGAATGTAGATTAGATAGGAAAAGAATGGCTGATAAATACCGTAACAAGATTTTGAAACCATATTTTAAAAAAAATAAACAAAACCAAAATACAGCTAAGTCCCTGAAAAGAAAAAATGCAAGACTTAGAATAAAAGTAATTACAATAATAATATTATTTATTATTATTTTTTTTTAATTGTTCAAATGGCATACTTCAATCACTATAGACATTAATAATGTTTCATCATATAATACTTATTAAATGTTTGTGTCTTATGAATGTGTACTTTTTCAGGTAAACCAAATGAGGTCTAATGTAGACTATCTGAAAAAAGAATGTGCAACTAAAAATCTTGAACCAATAATGGAAGCAATTAAACTATTACCAAATAGTCAACAAGAAGCTGTAAAGGCATGTTTAGATGCATCAAAAGTTTCTAGAGCTAATGGAAGAAGGTACACTTTGAATTGGATTTATGAATGTATTCTAATAAGAATTAAAAGTAGAAAAACATACGAACACCTAAGAATTCATGGCATTCTACCATTACCTACCATAGAAACTTTACAAAAATATTTATTGCACACAAAAGGTGTTTATGGATTTCAGTCTAGCACTTTTGCTTCTCTAAAAGAAAAATCTTTCCACATGAAACCTGAAGAAAGAAGAGGTAACTAATAATTGTGTTTTACTTAAAAGTTGTAGGTAGTTATATTTTATAATCTTTTTTTGAATGTATGCATTATAATTTGTAAAATGTTATAGTTCTTATTATTTTATTATAGGAACATTACTCTTAGATGAAATGAAAGTATCAGAACAATTGGTGTTTGACAAAAAAACATTGAAAATAAATGGTTTTACTGATCTTGGAAAGCACACACCAGAACACCAAAAAAATGTTAGAGGAGATCATGCATTAGTCATCATGTTTCAACCTTTTCGAGGGATGTGGGTTCAAGCTGTGGCATGCTTCCTAAGTAAAGGCGCAGCAAATAGTTCTGTTTTACATCAAATCATTATAGAAGCCATCGTTCTTCTTGAGAAGTCTGGTTTTTTCGTTGATGTTGTTACCACAGATGGAGCTCAATGGAACAGAAGTATGTGGAATAAATTTGGTATAACAGAAAGTATTGTAAGCTGTGAACATATCTGTGATGAAAAAAGAAGATTGTGGTTTATGTCTGATTTCCCACATTTGATAAAAAATTTTAGAAATTCTCTTATAAAACGAAGAGAAACTTGGGTAAATATTTAAATTATGTGCACAACTATCAGTGTTTGAAATTAACGTGATCATTTTTTTTGAATGCGTACATTTAATATACAATCATTGATTATAATTTAAAAATAAGACTATTTAATATGAAGTAGGTATAAACTAATAAATAATATAAATAATCTTAATATAATATTAGACACCAGAAGGAGGCATTAAAATCAAACATTGGGAAGCAGTAGTTGATGAAGAAAAGTTGTTTGATTATTCACTAAAAGTGTCAAAATTACAACATGAAGACATACATCCAAAATTTTATCAAAAAATGAATGTTGGTCGAGCATTTCGCGTAATAAGTTTAGATTACACAATTGCAATAAAAAGTATTTATAAGTACAATAGTATTTCAATCTTAATATTCTTTAGTTTTTCAGTAATGATACAGCTATAGCTATGGAGCTATATAGTGCAACAAATGTAAATCTAAAAGACTGTAATAATAGCATAGTTTTAATAAATAAAGTAAACACATTAATCAAAGCAATGAACTCCCGCACTCCCAGACAAGCACTAAAAATAAATTCAATAGAAGAAAAGGTAAAATAATTAGATAATATTATATTGTATTAATTGTGATGTCCTATTAAATAATTGGGAAAAATGAATATTCTTCAATATTTTAGTGCATTAAGGATTTCTATATCTACTTGACGGATTGGGAAACTAGAGCCAAAAGTTTAAATTATGAATTTATTACTGATAATACATGTTATGGACTTAAAGTTTCTTTAAAAGCGTCATTGGAGTTATTACAGTTTTTGGTCAATGAATGTGGGTATACATATCTTATGACTTCTCGCTTGAACCAAGATGCTCTTGAGGTACCTAATAATTTAATATTTTATTCTGTTATTCTTAAAAGGTTAAATGCTGTCTACTGCAAAGTTTATTTTTGTTTTTAGAGATTCTTTGGTATGATGAGAAGTGCTTGTGGTTCAAATGATCATCCGGATTCTGTCTTATTTATTCAAATGTTTCGTCTCATCAGCACATACTCATTAATTAAACCACCAAAAAATAGTAATGTAACTGGTGGAGAAATGATTGAAACATTAATAAATATTCAAGATTTATCAAATGTGAATGTAACAAAAGATACACTAGAAGGAGAGTTAGATTCAATTATAGACAAAGGCCAGTTTGAAGAACTTCCTGACGTTATAGCATTAATGCATGACCATGATTATAGGTCTACCAGTACTTCAAGTCAAGTATTATCATACTTAGCAGGTTATATAGCTAGAAAGGCAAACCGATTCACTAAGTGTAAAAAATGTCTCTCTAGTTTAAGAAACGATTGTTTGTCTTCATCTAGAGACAAACTTATAGACATGCGATCAAAGGGCAACTTAATACATTCATCAAATAATCTATTTAATTTAATTTCTACTTTAGAAAAATCGACACTAGAAGCATTAAAAAATGAAGAACTTAATATGAATACTTTACTAACTATTACGGAAATGATTGAACAAGGGGGATTCAATCCAATTGGTAGGTTTTGTAGATCATAAAGAAGAATTTTCTAAAGCCATTGTGCGATTTTTTTTAATAATGCGCATGTGTTTTATTGTCAAAAGAGCCAATTATAAAGATACGATGACTAGCAAAGAAAAAACAAAAAAAAACAGGAAAGTATCTAAACTGTAAATAATAATAAAAATTATATTGTAATAAAATAATATATAATAATTATGTAAACGTGACGGTTTACATTTTTTTTAAATTTTTTTTTACTATTTATATATACATATATTACGTAAATATAGAACATTCTTAAAGAAAAATTTGCGCTGAATACGATGGTGTTATTCTAATTTAAATACGATTATTATTTTTTTAATTATAATTTTTTAAATGTAATAAAGTCGAGTATGTCCCTATCTAATACGGGTTAATTATACTCCGAGCCAGCCTCGGATTTGACCGCCACGCAGACTGGTGGAGAAATTAGTGTGCGATGTTTTATAGAACCAATTTTTGTGCAGGCGGCCAGCAGAGTTTGGCCTCCTTATCTCTAGTCTTCATGATTAAATATATGATTGATACCGTGTGTGATACTGGTGGTTGAATGCGGAGTCGGTGGTGTTGGGCGGCGGGCGGTGGCGGTGAATGCGGAGGATGCGGAGGATGCGGGATCAGTGGATCAGGATTTCAGAACTCTCCTCGGCGGTGGCGGCGGATCAGTGGGATCAGTGGATCAGGGTTTTGAACTCTCCTTTTTATCCTACTATAGTTTTTCTAAACTATCAAATATGATAAAATCACAATTATTTACATTTAACATTATCATCCCCAATTGAATTTGTGCATAGTACGCATGTTTATTTTTAAGTTTCCATTGACCATCAGTTCCTTAGAACTAGAAAGTTAACATTACTCAATAGTTCTGTTAAACCAACCAAACTTCCTTTAAACGGACATTTTATTTCTATGAGCTTTTTTGGGTGGTTCAAAGTATCCAAGACTACTCCATCTGGAAAATAGCCTAACCATGGACACTTCTTTGATGTAATGAAACCACTTGTGATAACATTGTTTCCAGTGTATACATCTCTTGCTATTAGTTCATATTGTATTTCATGTTTCACAAACTTGTTATTGAATTCTTGAGACCAAAAATATTTACTTATTTTTATAGCCCATTCTTCATCTTTATGTTGACGTTTACCATAAGTAAATAACTGGTAACACCGGCTGACTGTTATTCTAAATTATCTGATACTATGCCAAAATGCCTTATTATTTTCACTTATTTTTCTGATGTATACCAAATCATACTGCATGAGTATGCACATCATTTTCTGGCAGCAATCTCCCAAGTTTAATACTGCATATTCTCCACAGAAGTAAGAAGTACATGTTCAGTTATAGGAAATAAATCCACATTTACTGGACATGGTACCAATTTTGGATTGTCCAAACAAGTATTTCTACCTTTGGCATGTAGTGCTAAAGCTGTTGTATCAGAAACTTTAATGAATTCATTTCTAGAAAAAATAATAAATTTGTACAAAGCCACCCAATATGTGCTTGAAAGATAATAAAGCTGTAATACAATGTATAAGTACCATACCTAATGAAATTTGAACCAATAGATACACTATTTAGATCACTTGGTGTTTTACAGATTTTGTTCACACAACAATAATCACCTGATATCCATAAAAAAAATATTATTGATTAAGATGATTGATGTTATTATTTATAAGTAATACATAATAGCAATAATTTTCAAGACTTGACAAGCAAACAATTAATAATTGACATTTTCATACTTGTATATTAAATATAAATAAATTGTGTTAGGTACCTATACATGCATTTTGAACTTACCTATTGGTACAGGCTTATACTGCTCCAATGATGGCTGCTTCAATTTGTTCCATTGGCACTTGATATTTGTCGATGATATGTTGATGAGCTTAAGTCTTCTAAATGAGTTCTGTGTCATGTTTATTATCTCAAAGCAAAATTAAAAATCAAACAAATTTGTACCTACCTATTTAAATGTAATAAAACAGCTACAGTGTGCTTACAACATTCAGAAGTACCTGCTTTACACGAGCAAAAAAATTGTTTGAGATCTAATTTAAATTGGTTTGAATTGTTTATTTTCACTTTCAGCAATTTCCCAGTAATTTCATGAGGCATTTCAGAAATTTTAGAAGTTTGAATAACTAATGATTTTATGGTTATATTTGGGTCCTATGAAAATAAAGTAGTATAACTTTGATTGGTAGTTATGAAATTAGATATTGTTTTTCTTTAAATTTTTATATATTACATTAACTTATATTTTCAACTTGTAGTTTTCCAGACAAAATAACTTGGTTAGAGTTCAAAACTTCTTCAGCTTCAATAAAATTTCTAGTGTTTGGAGTGCATTTAGCATATGAAAAGATGTCACTCAATGTTAAAATCATATTTACATTACATTTGTAAACAATAAGCAATCCAAACTTGGTGTAAAATACAAAAGAAGAATACGAATATACGAAAACTAAAAATAAACTCCTAATGTTTTCATAATCAGTGTTTGGCGGTAAAATCTATCCTACTTTCGCGGACATTTAATAATGACATACAGCGCTCCCAGTGTTATCTAACTTTACCAATGTAAGAGATACAATATTAAAATACATTTTTTATATTTTAACTTAACATAACAATAATTGTACAAACAACAAATTTAAAAGTATTTTAATCTTATGAGGTTTGAATTATGAATGTAACTAGGAAAATTGTATAAATTAATTGGAGGTCTTTTAAATTCATTAACATTTCTTATAACATATTGTTCTCTTTTAACTTTATTTACTTTATAACAAGCTAAATGTTTATCATAACCAATTATATCAAGCCTTTGACAAAATAATTAAATTATTCTTTCGTTTAAGCATATTCTTTGTTTTAATAAATAAACTGATACTTCATTTTCATTTGTTATAAAAACATTATCAATTTTGTATATAGCACTGAAAAGAATAATTTTATCATAAATTAAAGAACCATGCATAATATATAAATTTTTATTTGGACATAAATCACGAATTTGTTGAATATAATATGTAGATGAATAAATTGAAAATGCAACACTCATTAGTGCATAAACAGTATATTATGTATTAATATCAAAGTTACAGATTAGTTCGGAGATATTAATACAAAACTTAATACCAAGTGATATTGAAATATTTATCCTGGAATTGATATTTCTAGTGTATGCCTTAAGTTGCTTATGTTTAGACTCAAAATTATACGACCATATATACTTTGAAAGACCATATTTTTAGTTATACTCAGGAGCGTCATTTAGGGGGGGGGGGCAGTGTGTGCAACGGCACCACTAACTTAATAAATGTTACCGGTTGGCCCGCCATTAATACTTCAATGCGCCGTTAAAATTAATTTATACATCATGCTTGCATGTGTAATATAAATAAAATATATATACATAATACTTTAAGTTGTTGTTTATTTTTGGTTTATCAGCTCCCTTATCAAATGTATACAAGGCAAGCACGATTTAAGATAATTATAATCACGGACTAAGATAACGTTTGTCTACCGAGTAGTATTCTTTGCATAATATGGCGCCGTGTTTCACTGATAACAAGAAGACTGCTATCTAGTATTAGTATATGTATATCAGCTGTGATATCTGACTAGTCGGTGCCTCCATAGATTATCCATGTATCGTTTAATCTTATAATCTATGGTGCCACATGCGCTTGTCAACCAAGCGTTGTGGATTGTGGAACCGTTGTAACGTGTCTAACAGTATTTCGTTTCGTGTGCGAACGTTTTTTTTTTTGGTATAATTGTGCAAAAAAAAAAAATTAGAAAATGGATAAAAAGAAAAGAAAAGGCGGCGCTGCTCGTCTACGTGAAAGCAAAAAAAAAATGCTACTTGTAGCTGGTTCTTCCTGTCATAATTTAGTCAGTATGTTTAAGAAAGCCGAATTTAATCAGATGGAAATAACTGTATGTGTTACTGACTGTTATCGTTAATTATCATAGTTAATAATAAAAATATAAATTAACAATTATTTATGTTATTCTCATAGGGATCTGATTATTCTAATTGTGACGTAGAGGTAGATGCCAGAACTCAAATTATTGAGCCTAATGATGAATTAAATGTGTCCAATGATAATTTAAGTATGAAATCAAATAACACAACCAAAGATGTTAGTAAATAATAATATTACCTACTTATAATTTTAATTTAATTATACAAATGCACCTACCTATATAGTAATTTATGATGTAACTTATGTACCTAAGAATTTAAAGACTCAATATCTTCTAGTCAAACTGTATTAAATACAAGTACAAATTATATGATTGATGATATTGAGCCTGATGATGAATTAAATGTGTCCAATGATAATGTCATTATTAAATCAAATAATATTACTCAAGAAGTTAGTAAATAATTATATGACTTACAAATTTAATATGATTGATTTTCATACCTATGTAGATCGTAGAAATTTAAAGATTCATTATATTTTATCCATCTAATATTTATTAAATGCACTTTCATAGGTTTTTGATATATCACATATAAAGTATGAGGATCCAGTACAGCCAAATCTATGTATTTATCCCAGGAATAGTGTAAATAGATCATTTAGTTCTAAGTATTATAAAATCTTTAATTGGATTGAATATTCCATTAAAAATGATATGGTGTTTTGCTTTGTATGTCGACACTTCACTGTGAATACTAATTTAAAAGTTGATAGTACATTCATAAATAAAGGTTTTAACTGTTGGAGGAAACAGACCGAGTCATTTAATAAACACATGAGTAGTGAAAAACATAAACTAAACAATGAAAAATATATGTTTTTAAATATAAAAAAGAATGATACCCCTGTTGCAAATTCACTTATCACATCCCGAAAAAAATATATTGAAGATAATCGTCAACATATTATTTAATTGTTAAAAGCCACACTATTTTTATCAAAGCAAGGCCTTCCCTTCAGGGGACATGATGAATAGAATGAGTCAACTAACCGTGGAAATTTTATTGAGTTGTTAAATACATTTACTGATCCTGAAACTATAACTAAATTATCTGCTAGATATGGTCACTATACTTCTCCGGAATACCAAAATGATTTGATCAAGACTATAGCTTCTAGTACTAGGACAAATACTATTGAAAAAATTGCTTTTACTGGAGCTTATTCCATACTTGTTGATGAAACGAAAGACGCAAGCAAAAAGGAGCAGTTATCATTCATTGTTGACGCCGTAACATAGTAGGTAGCAAGTAATATATTAAGAAGGTAATTATCACTAGTCACGGAGGAACAGCTGGTCTCACACACATATCACGTTATTTGTATTGTTTTATTTTTGTATTGAATGTGTCTTGTGAGTTATATAATATGCAGATTAAACGTTATCGCCAGCCGCCGCGCTGTCTACGCAAATATTATTTAACACGGCCGCCGTGACTCTGTCTCGTTCCTACTGTACGTCGTTGTTAAGATTTCGGACTCCGTAAATTTAATTGTTAGTTTTGTCAAATTGACAATACTTTTTTATTATATTTATTAGCAAGGCGCGAATCGCCACTGTTGTGAATATTATATTTGTGTGCGCGAATCGCCACAGTTTAATACCTTTATATTATTATATTTGTTGGCACTAATCGCCTTATTTTTATTATATTATTCTACAATTTTACAATTTATAGGCGCGAATCGCTGCATTAATTATATTGTTTTATACATGTAGACGCGAATCGTCTAACATCTCCAACGTGTTGTAATTTTTATATTTTATTGTTTGTGTGTGTGCAATTATTACATATAGCCATACAGGTTGCAGCTGGCCAGCAGTACACCGACAAATTGTGAGTTCTTTTATATTATCATTTATTTATATTATTTATTAATTGTGCCCAATTGGCATTAGGAACCATTTTATTATGCATTATTATAATAGTACTTAGCTGTATAATATTATTACTTGTTATTTGGTTGTGCCGAACCGGCAATTATTATTATTAAATATTTTTACATTGTTGGGCCAAAAGGGCTGTAATCTACTATTTTGTTATATTATATTATCTATTATTACCAAAAACCGTGTTACCATTTTATTATTATTGTTTTATTGTACACACACCCACATATAAACACATTTGTACTCAAAAACACACTTTTCGCACAACACGCATTACGTAGTTCTACAGTATTTGCCCGGCAACCCCGACCACTACTGTTTGAACTACTACATCACTACACACCCAGCTATCTCCATATTATTTCTCCGCCCTAGGTGTTAGTGGTGCTCTAAAGTATTGGCGTTCGGGCACGCGTAATATTTATTATGCTCCCGGCCCGTTCATTCATCATTAGATTTGTTGATGACAACTTAAATATCCTCGAAAAAGCAATTGGTTGCTATCACATGAAGAAATGTGATGCCTATACTTTAAGTCAAGAAATTCTTAATATTGCTGCCCATAATAAGTTAGATATACAAAAATGTGTAGCACAGTGTTATGACGGGGCATCAGTTATTATTATACACATATTTTTATACAGTCCACTAGTTATTATTTTATTAATACGAAATGTGTCGGTTGCTAATATTGCATCGACCTGATTAATTACATTTTGGACTTTCGGGACGGATGGTGTTGTGTATTTAAAAAGAATCAATTATTATGTCAATTGCAAGTAATCTTGATTATGAATTGTCTAATGAAGTCGTCTTAGCTACGTTAGTAAGTCGGCGTGGGCAAATAAAATCTCTTACGAGGGTGTCCACGTTCGTCGATCGATTTGTTGAATCAGTTTCTAATGTTGCCGGGGCAGCATCTAGGCTTGCTATGCTCCCCAGCATCATGACCCAGTTCGAAGACGTTCAAGGTTAGGAGGAGCTGGATACCAAACACGACGAAGAACATGGTGTTACCCGTGACGAATTCGAGTCGCGGTACCACCACATTGCCGGGCAGTTATCCCGATGTGTGAAATCATCGTCTACAGTTCAACACGGCAGCGATTCGTTTAACGCGTCGTTACAAGGTACGTCTATATTGCCGCGTACGCAATCGCTTTTACCTGCGTTACCATTAGAATCGTTCGACGGCGATTATGCAACATGGCAACGGTTCTTAAATTGTTTTATGTCACGTGTCGGAGGGGACTCGTCCGTGTCGGAATCGGACAAGTTTCACTATCTTAGATCGTGTTTACGTTGCTCGCCTTTGGATTTAATCGACGCACTGGAAATCAATGACACTTCATACGAGGAAGCGATTCGAGTGCTTAAGGAACGGTAGAGAGAAAAAGATTGATAACGGAGTCTCACGTTAGGTCACTGTTGGATATGCCAAAAGTAACGGGTTCAACGTCATTAGAACTTCGGGAGCTTTTATCAAGTTCACCAAGCACATTGAAGCTCTCCGCTCGCTAAAGCGTCCAGTTCAGCACTGGGATGACTTATTGATCGGTATAATACGTAACAAATTGGATCTACGCAAATTGGAACAATGGGACTTATCAATCAAGGTAACTGATGAAATCACGTTTAAACGATTTTCTGATTTTTTAGAGTCTCGTGACAGTTCTTTGGAATCGTATGAGGGTCAAACAAAGGTTGAAAGTGAAAATGCAGCTGGAAAAAAGATTAAAAAACAAGCTTGCCTATCAGTTCAAACCAACCGCTCAACATGTGTCATGTGTTCACAACAGCATCGATTGGATTATTGTTCTCGGTTTAAGGCGATGAAGTTGCAAGATCGTTATGACTTTGTTAAATGAAAACGTTTGTGTTTTAATTGTTTTTTTGCCCATAGCGTTCGTGACTGTAGATTACCTCCATGTCAACATTGTCAACGGCGGCATCATAGTTTGTTGCATGGTCACCATATCAGGGGCAAAAACTCGTTTCCACATGCTCAACGGGCGATGCCGTTATAAGCGCCGTAATAGTTGACGATAAGCAACCAACTACACCCACAGACACAGCTGGCGCGCCAACCGATATTAGCGCCACGGCGTTGCACAGTGTATGTAACGTGAAGCAGGTGTTGGTGTCGACTGCATTAATTGTCGTTCAAGACAAGCATGGCCGGAGATTCCCTTGTCGTGCTGTGTTAGATAACGGGTCACAGATCAATATTATGACCCAAAAATTATCAAACAAATTGGGGCTGGATGTCACACGCACCATGTTGCCCATCAGCGGAGTAGACAGCGTTAACACCAAATCTTCACAATGGGTGAATGTTACAATTAGTTCTTTTCATTCTCAATATACAAATGTTATTGGTTGTCATGTTCTTCCAGCCGTTACGTTTCCGTTACCAACCCAATCCATCAGTACAGAAAGGTGGGATTTTCCGGATGCAGTGAAGAATTCTTTGGCGGATCCTGGTTTTAACTGTACGGCTGATGTAGATTTATTATTGGGGGCTGAGATATATTACGAGGTAGTTTGGTCACAACCAACGGTGATGCCAGGAGGTTTGCCTTGGTTGTACAATACTGCTCTTGGTTGGATAATCTCTGGCCCTATACCAACGGAACATAATCACGGAGCTTCAAGTCAGGGAATTTCCTGTTTTTTAACGACTGGTGCGGGGTTAGCTGTAAAGGGACCAAGGAGTTCTAAGTATGAAGATGAAGTGGCATGCGAACAGCATTTTCAAAAAACTCACAGTCGTCAATCGGATGGGCGATTCATTGTTTCATTACCATTTCGTGACGGTTCTGAGTCACTTGGGCGTTCCATGGAAGCTGCATTACATCGGTTCTTATCCTTGGAGCGAAAACTACAGCGTAATCCAGAATTGCATACTGGATATTGTGAATTTATGAATGAATATATGAAGTTAGGTCACATGTCGGTGATCGACGATCCTGTGGTGCAAACTGGACAGTATTATTATCTACCTCACCAAGCTGTGTTTAAAGCATCCAGTACTACGACAAAGATGCGGGTAGTTTTTGATGCCTCCATGAAGACATCTACAAACTTATCACTCAACGATGTTCTTCTGGCCGGTCCAGTTATACAACCAGAACTGTTTGATATCGTTCTACGTTTTCGATTACATATGATAGTGATTACTGCAGACGTTGCAAAGATGTACCGTCAAGTGTTGATCAGTGAAAACGACCGGAGCTTTCAACGAATTTTATGGCGAGATTCCCCGGATAAACCGTTATTGTATTTCGCTCTAAACACGGTCACTTATGGTACGGCGTCAGCGTCATTTCTTGCCACTCGTGTGTTAAAAGAATCGAAAGCTCTAATCGAATTCTCAGAACAGCATTCGGAAATTAGTCAATCTATTTTGCAAAATTTTTACCTGGATGATTACATTAGTGGAGCGAATAGTGATATAGAAGCTGAATGAAATTATGCATCGTGATATTGCTAAAGTATTAGAATCAGGTGGGATGCAACTTCGTAAATGGTGTTCGAACAGTGAACAGATGAGACGGATATTCAGCGAAACGTCAAACATATCTCATTACTCATTGAACTTGAGTCCTGATAAAACCGGTGCATCCAAATTGCATGCCAAAAAAATAAATATAAATCGGGTCGTCCGAATTGCATGCCGTCTCTTGGAGGGGTCTGTCCGAATTGCATGCCGTCTCTTGGAGGGGTCTGTCCGAATTGCATGCCATCTCTTAGAGGGGTATATCCGAATAAATAACTTACTTTTCAACTGGAGGATCGTGATTTTGTTACATTACAATAAAACATATAAATATTGTAGAAGGTGACACTGTGAATAAGAATCATAAAATAAAACTATTTTTTTTTCATCGACAACAAAGGCCATTAGTTAAATAAAACTATTGTAGTTTAGGGTAATCAAGTTAGTGTATTTTAAATAATATTATTTTTAAATTTGGTGGTTTTTTTTGACATTTCGGGCACATAATATTACAATTTAAATAAACAAAATAATATATAATAATAATTCATAATAATAAAATATGTCAATAAACAACTTTTTTTTAAATAATAAAATAGTATAATAGCATTTTTTGCTTCAATGAAAAATTACGTTACAGTATAAAAATAATAATAATAAATTAAAAAAAACAATAATAATAATAATAGTAGAATACAATATTATAATAATATAATTATCTATATAGTATATAGTCATAATATATTAAAAATTTAGTTTTGTTTATTTTGTTGTCGGCAATGACATGTATGCCAACTTTTCTACATATAAAAGTCTATTAATTTCATTATTTTGAAATTCCGTCATCACTAAACTTATACTTTTTTCTTTTTCTAATATTTCCCGGCGTCTATTACTTAAATTTGAACTACGCAATTTTACATATATATCACATTGTACTTGCTTTAAGACATCAACTAATTGAAAAATATTAGGACTTGGGGAGTAAAACATGCTATTCAGCTTGGAATGGAATGATTCACAAACATTAGTTGTACGCATTGTAGAATTAGAAAATTCAGCCCAAATAGTTGGTGGAAATAAACTGTCAGCCATCACATACGTTTCTAAGAAGTAGTCACAAAATGCATGTACACGATCATCGTTGGGTTGAATTGCCATGATTTCGTTCGTAAAACAGTCGTCTACATCATTTGGATTTNTTCAGTAATAAATTAGTCAAAGCATCTTCATAAATTTGTTTTGTTTTTCCCGTTAATAAAAAAAAAATTAGTGGTGTATAGTTGTGATTTTTAACTCCGTGAATTGTGAATAACTGATAAAACATCTTAGGGCAACTTTTAAATGTACCGTCAACAAATAATATTTCGCACTCACTTAAATATTTTAAATTTGCGTGTGATGTAAAAGCTACAATATTTTTTTCATGATTATTAATAAATAAAAAATCTTCGTCTCTATTAGTTTTGATGTTTAAATTATCTAAAGCTGTATGTAAATCAATCAAAGTTTCTGGCAGTTTAGGATAAATGCTTGATCGGGCATAATGTAAATTTTTTCGAACTCGTTTGTAGTGTCATTTGTCGTCCATATACTAATATCTCCCTTTAATAGCTCACGATGCAGTATTTTACTTGGTTTTTCAAAAGGATCATCTACAGCCTTGCGTTTTAAATTATTACATACCCGTTGTCTATTTAATTTTTGCTCGTCATCTTTATTGTGATTATGATCTATCTTGCGGAATATAACTTTATATTCACTGTTTATATACGATAATTTTATGTAAGACGTACACGAACGTTTACAACAAGCCCACCTTTCAATATCATTGCACAATAACTTTTGAAAATAAAATTTAAAATCATCAATTACATAAAGTTTTTTGTTTTTTTCACTCAACATATGTTCCATGATCACACTACAGTTAACACACTTCGTTAACGTTCCAAGACGTACTAATATTATAAGACACAGAAAAACACACAGGTGATATCTCCTTTTGATCTAAATTATATATATAAATTATTATTATTACTATTATATTTTATGGTCGTAGTGGCGTAGCTCTATACCTTTCTTATCTTAATATTATTTCAGATCAATATTGAACATTTGACAGCTACAAACACTTAAGTGACCGATACGATATATGTATGTCTGTGAAACATACCGAGACCACAATACACTACATTACTCCAATATAGATATACTGTTTGGGAAAATATTTATACGGATATAAAAATATTTCAATCCAGAAACTAATCACTAAACAGTTGTAACAACCATACATAAAAAGCGTTTCTATACATGCATTTTTTGTCCAAAAAAAAGTTTAAGTTGTTTAAGTGCATAGTAAATAAACGTGTGGTGTACGGCATGCAATCCGGACAAATCCCTCTAAGAGATGGCATGCAATTCGGACAGACCCCTCCAAGAGATGGCATGCAATTCGGACAGACTACTCCAAGAGATGGCACGCAATTCGGACAAACCCCTACAAGAGACGGCATGCAATTTGGACATTTTTTTTTTTTGGCATGCAATTCGGATGCAGCCGATAAAACTACCACTTCCCTCGGACTAAATTGGTGCCCAATGAGTGACAGTCTATTGTTCTTGAATAAATCGAAAATTTCAAGGCGGTCAAGAACAAAGCGTGAACTATTATCCACACTCAATAGCGTGTTCGATCCATTAGGTAAATATAAAAAATTACAATAATTGTTTGAATGATAAACCGAAAATAATATACATTAAATTAATATTAAGTTAGACTTAATTTTTATAAATACAAAAATTTTTATTTTGAGTTTGATCCATCATCCTTGTATTGATTACCTTGTATTGGCAATAGACATGATAACCTCACCGATCTCTTCCTTGGCCCACTCGGTGTATTTACTGTTGCAACTCGTACCACGCCGTCGCTACCCGAAAATATTTCTCGTAACGTTCTCATGAAAATGTGTGGAAGATGCATTTTCTTCGTCAGTGAAATGGTTTTTCACCAACACTTCTTCCATTTTCCAAAACGCTTCGATTTTGTTCTCTAATATTTTATATTGATTTTGAGTTGCTAATAAACATTTGTTTGGTCTTGTCATACTTAAATTATTCGATGGTTTACCCACAACTACCCATCCGAACAATGTATTTTGTTAATATGGACCGTAATTTATTTTGATTTTATCACCACACATGATGTCCCAAAACGTGTCACCGCCGATAAGTATATCAATACTGCCCGGATAATTAAACGACGGGTCTGCCATGTATATGTTACTCGGAACGTTCACACTTTGTATAGAAGTTCGTGGTAATGGGCCCGTTATTTTTGACAATACTAATAAGTCAATTATTGTGGAGTACTATTGAATGACTTAATAACAGCAGTTACCTTATATTTTATTGTATTATTTGTTTCACTAATACCGCATATTGGAATGTTTACTTTTTCAAGTTGAAGTCCAAGTTTGTCAACTAAATTGTTTGTTATAAAATTGCTCTGCGATCCACTGTCTAATAACATTCGGCCTTGCGAATGTCTACCAAAGGGACTCGATATATTTATTATGGCTGTTGTTAACAGCACTTCGCTATCGATGTCGACTTTTGCTGTATGCGTGGACACTAATGCATTATTTGATGACGTATCGGCTTTTTCTTGAGTCGGACTTATTTCCTTATGTAAAATTGAATTATGCAGTTGTTGGCATTTTACACGTTTTCTCGACGGACATTGATTTAAATGGTAATTGGTTTTTTTTAAACAAATTTAGTTCATCGACTTTGTTTATTTTAGACTCTGTATCGAGTGTCAAAAATACGGTGCATTTGTAGATTTTGTATGGTTGTTGACATAAATAACATTTCATTTTGTATGTAGATAAAAATGTTGACGCACCCTTCTTTGACGTCCCAAATTTTGAGATTTTAGTAAATGAATAATTTGATTCTTGCTTGCCTGTTAATAATCTGGCGTTTTCGACAATTCTAACATTTAATTCCTTTTGCTTTTGAACTCCATTAACAATTGTACACTTGGTAATTTTTCTCCGGAGACTTCCGTTTCTCAATGCTTGATCGTTTTCGTATTAAGTTTTGTGTAAATTACATCCAACAACAACGCACCCCATTGTATGGGTCGTGATTTAGAGTTTTTAGTGCTTGCATATGTCCGTTTAGTGAATCAGTCAGTTGTTTTAATTTTGTGGCCGACTCCTTATTGATTGATTCCAAATCAAAAATACGTTTTGTGTGCGTTTGTATCAACATTAGTAGTATATATTTGTATGTTCACAGTTCGTTTTTCCACGGTAATTTTTTTTGTTCAAGGGGGAATG